GATCTCAAGGATCATGAATCTCCAACCCCCTGCCACATGCAGGGACACCAACCTCCACATTTCATAGCAGCCCAGGCTGCCCAGGGCCCCATCCAACCTGGCCTTGCACACCTCCAGGGATGGAAGGGGCATCACAGCCTCTCTGGGCGGCCGTTCCAGCACCTCACCACTCTCCATGACATCCACCTAAATCTGCCCTCTCCAACTTCAAACCATTTCCCCTTGTCCTGCTGTTATCTCCCCTTTCAAAGAGTTGACTTCCCTCCTGTTTGTAGGCTCCCTTTAGGTACTGAAAGGCTGCACTGAGGTCACCCCGCAGCCTACTTTTCTCCAGGCTGAACAAGCCCAGCTCCCCCAGCCTGCCTTCATAGGGGAGGTGCTCCAGTCCCCTGATCATCTTAGTTTTGAAGAGTTCAACGAGAAAAAAAGCACTGCTGTCTCTGTGTCTAAGATAAAACTCCTGGCTCTGAGGTCTGTGTGCAAACCAACGTTGTTTTTTTTCCAATCTGATCCTTTGGTTTAAGGCACAGCCCAGCAGGCTCTGCTCTGCTCCACCACAGCGTCCCCATGCCAGTGTTTGCAGAGCAGCCAGGCTCAGGCGTGACCTTGAGGGCCTCCACAGCGCTGCTTGCTTTTTGTTCCCTTAACCCAGCATGAACTGCGGGCACCACGCAGCTGAAGCTTTCTTTAAAAGGAAAGGAACCACGGCCACGTGGCTCGCACCCCGTGCACAACCCACCGGCCTGGGCTGCGCTCCTCCTCCTTCCCCACCACAGCTTTTCAGACTCGAAGATCACAGCAGCTGTAACCAACAGGAAGCACAACCGGGTCGATGGAAAGCAGCACGGGGAGCTTCTCTAAGCACAAAACCCAACCAGATTTTCAACCAGACCTAAAGTTGAAGCAGCAATTCTGATATATAACGTAATTAAAAGCGTTACATCTGCCTTAGCAGAGCAGGAAGGGGGCAGATGCACGCAGAACGCAGGTCTGACCTTCCCCAATGACAGCACGGCAGCAGCACGCTGTGCCCTCAGGGCTGCAGCAGGACGGGCCGGGCTGCCAGCCCCAGGATAAGCCCACCTCCACCCCACAGCACGACCCCGAGTGCCGCCATCCGATCCTGAATCTGAAAGATTCGGCTTTTCCCCATTGAAAAAGAGATCTGCTTCAGGTTTATGCGGCGAAGCAGCTCGCGCTGCCACAAAGAGCTCGGCTCCCGTAGGGGCGCACAGCACCGCGTAAACGTACATGGAAGCGGGCTCACGCCGAGCCACAGGCCTGCCTGCCCGCCCGCCGGGTCACGACAAGGACACCGCGGCCCGCCCGCCGCCGCTCACCTGCGGAGCCGCGGATGGCAGCGCGGAGGCCGGCGGCGGCGGCGCAGCGACGGAGGAGGACGGTGGCGGCGGCGGGCAGCATGGCGGCGGACGGGAGGACGGCACCGGGGGGCGGCCGCGCTCTGAGGGCGCGGGGCTGCGGGATACGGGAGGAAGGGGAGGGGAGCGGGGAGGGCTACGGTGGCGCCGCGGGGACAAAGTTCTGCGCGGAGCGGGAGCGCGACGTCACGTGGCCGCTGCCGCGCGGGAAGGCGGGGGCTGCCGGCCGCCATTTTGTGGCGGGTTGGTGCTGTATGTGGGGCGATACGGCTATGTGCTGTTCCCGCCATCAGTCCTCCCCTCAGCCTGCTCCGAGCACACTGGAGAACTCGGCTGCTCCTCACATCTGCCTGTCTATATGCACCACCGTCTTCATTGCCCTCTTATGGATGCTTGCTCTTCTGTCCTTCAGACGCTGTGGCACCCAGATTGCCCCCAGCACTCGCAGTGTGCGGCGCCTGCCCTGTCACCTGGCAGCGCTGGGCCTGCTGCAGCACAGGGCACGGTTACACATCTGGTGCGCGCCGCTCGGATCCTGTTTGCTGACAGCCAGAACCAGAGTTTGGTTCTTTTGTAAAAACGCAGAACTGGCTTCAAAATGGAGCCACAGGGAACCCCACTAATGATCGTCCCCCAGTCTGCTGTAACCCCGTTTCCTACCACCCTTTGAGCTCAGCCCTTCAGCTGGTTTTTCACCCATCCTATTGCAGATGTGTGAAAGATCACAGTGTGTTTCAGAGCTCCCCCAGGCTCTAAATCTAGATCCCCCCAGGGACGGGCTGCCCATCAGCAGCCATGCCGTGAGGGGATGGAGCCCTTCCTGTTTGCAGCCCAGCAGCTGGGTTAGCACAGCAGCAGCTTGGCCTCTCAGAGGAAAGCAGAGCCCTCAGGGGCCTCCAAGCTCTTATGGCTATCAGGGCCCGCAGCTGCTTGGCATTAAAGGCTTTCCATGGATGAATGCAGCCTGGCGTTCCCAAAGGGAATCCCTGCTGCCGGGCTGTCTTCAGAGCATCAGTGAGCCCAGGATGGATGCATGGAGATCCATTGCATCCCCATCCCCAAATGCACACCGGGGTGCTGCCCACAGCTGAGGCCGCTGTCAGGCTGTCTGTGCCACGGTCTGTAAAGCCACAAGTTCACAGAATGACCCCAAAATTACTATTCATAGGTGCCGTGGGCTGTGCCTACACAGCAGACAATCACCACGCTGTTTTCACTAACAATGCCCCCTTAGGACCCTGTGGAGCCAGATGCCATCCTGCTATTTATAAATGCTTCATATTTGGAGTTGCAGTCAGTTTTATTCTTTTTAACTATTTCCTCACACAGGAAATCCTTGGTACACAGCCAGCAGTGCGAAGCATTTGAAATCCCCAGCCTCCTGTTGCCTCCAAGGTTGCAAATTGCCTGCGTACAGAATCAATTAAGAATAATTTTGAACATTAACAAAATAATATGGTGAAATTAGTGACTTTTTTTTTCTCTCTCTCTTTCTCCTTGCCTTTCTCCTTGCTGGGGGCAACACGAGCTGGCAGTAGGATTGTTAGTTCTCAAAAGTCTTCACACTTCCATCGAATTGTTTATTGAGTTCTCCCCCAAAGTCCTTCCATTGCTGGCTAGGAGACCAAAAACCCCTGACTCTTATCAGTGGGGTCAAGGCTGAGGCTTCGATGTCCTGCTACTGCTGGTTAGGAGACCAAAAATCTGTGAGGTAGAGAATTTGTGCTGACGTGTCGTGCCCTGTCATAACCCACATTCCCCATCTCTTTGTGCATAGTTCTTCATTGACCTCGTTTGGGATGGAAACTGGTGCAAGATGCTGTGCTGAGGGCTTCTGCTGATCTACCTGCAGGGCTGAGGGCATGCAACAGCCTGTTCTGCAATGGCTTATTGGCTTCCAACTGCATCATATGCACAGCACCTGGCCCAGCACCGCTGAGTTGTGGACGAATTTGATTCTGGGGTCTGTTCAGCCCCCTCCATTTCTTATGCCACTTTCTGGGAATAAAACCTTTCTGGGAATAAAACCCCCACAAAAAGGAGAAAACAATTGGAAATTAACGTTCAATTACATGGTGGCAGATAAGTGAAATGAATCAATCTGTGGCAGGGCAGATAAGCACAAGCTTCCAGCCCAGAGGAGCAGCTGCCTGCTGAGGGAGATAACAAGGTCATTGCCAAACAAGCCCCCCCTTCCTCCTCTTTCTCGCTCCCCTGGTCTCCTTCCATTCCTTCTCCCAGCCAAAAAAAGCACTTTCCAAGCCAGCCTTTGGCAAAGCAGCGATGCCTACTGACCCCATCCTAAGGCTGCGCTCTCTAGAGCCAACTGAATCTATCCTGCTTGGGCAGGGGACCCAGGTGGATTTAGGTTCAGTTGGCCTCCCACAACCCATCTCTGCATCGCCCCGGTCTCCATGTGCTGGCAAGGGGCAGATGGAGCTCCATAGGGGGCTTTGCCAGGCTCTGCCATGTCGGCAGGGGCCAGGCAGCTGCCAGGGCATGCAAAGAAGCTGGCCCTGATTCCTCATCCCCAAGAGGCAGGATTTGGCCAAGATCCCCCTGTTCTGGCTCAGCAGCATCCACAGTCCCACCCTCACTGTGCCCATCTGTGCCGTGGCCACTGGCAAAGACGCTCCCCCCCCCCGCATTTCCCCATAGACATACTTCAACTATTTCTAAAGAGCTTTTATTTTCCGTTTGTTTCCTTTTACCCATAGAAAAGGCAGACGTTTCGCTCCGAAGGGCTTTCTGGAGAGCCAGCCCATAGCAAATGCTCCACAGCCAAACCTACAAAGCTCCCCTTCATCCCAGCATCCGTCCAGCACGTTGGAGATGATCCACCTGATGCTCCCCATTGCCTCCATCCCTCGTCATCATGCTTTCACCATGGCTGCAAACACCTCTGGGAGAGGAAAAACCTGAATATGTGATGTGGGAAGAGGAGTTATTTCCATTTCTGTTCTTTCGGGGCTGCTATTGAAATGAACGACAGTGCTCCGGGGCTTGTTTCCTTGGCTCTCAGGCTGCAGCAGTTCTGGAAGAGGAAGGATCAGCTTCGGGTATTTCAGAGCAAAGCACAAAATAGAAACGATGCCAGAGCAGAAGGGAAGGGACAGAGACAAAGCAGGGAGCTGGGTGAGAGGGAGCAGGACCCATCTGCTTGTTTGTGCTATTCAGGATGAATCACAGGAGCCACAAGGCGTGGATCCCAGCGTTAATAAACCTGACAGCTCCTCTCTGGGGTTAATTGCAGTGGTTTTGATAATGAAGGTGTTACTCCGATGGGCTTTGGGCTCTTTGCTGCTGGCTGAGCCATCGTGATGTGGAGCGGCAGCATGCAGCTGCCTTTCCCAATCTGGGGAGAATCCAAAGGATGCTTCTGTGCGAGTCCTGGAGAGCTGCAGTGCCGGGGGCTATTTAGCAGGGCTGGCAGGAGGCGTGAGTGGCTCTGCATCCCTACAACTGCACGCAGCACCAGGCAAAAGGAAGGAAAAGTTAGGAGAGGGGAGGTTTTCCCACAGACCTACACACCGCAGCCCCCCTTCATTAGTGGGGGGTACAAGGATGTGCTCTGCATGGGGTCAGTAGCCCCCCAGACTCTCCTGTGAGCATAAAATAGGGTCAGTAGTGGCCATTGGTCTGGCTGTCTCTTGTCCCCGAGCCCCGCAGGCTGCCGGCTCCCGCTACCTGCAGCTTCTTGGGCAGCAGTTCCTCATGGGCAGGCGGTGGGGGCCGCTTCAGCCCCTTGGCTGAGGAGCTCGAGGGGTCTTCTCCTGCCTCTCTGGGCTCAGGGGGTTGGTAGCCCGTCTGGTTGGGGTCCAGGGGGTCACGGGAGAGCAGGATGCAGATGGAAGGGACGTTCTTGTGGACGGTCAGATTCTGTGCTGCACCGCCGGGCAGCGGGTCCCGGTTCTCCCAGACCTCCAGCAAGGTTTTGTAGCGTACCTTGGTGACCTGGTGAAGACCCCCCAGCTTTCTCTTCATGATCTCCACGCAGGTGATGGTCTTGGTGACTGCTCTGCCGCAGCCGCTGAAGACAATCTGCCGGCTGCCCTTCAGCTCCATCTGAGCCATGGCGAAGCTCATCAGGTTCCTGATCTTGCTGCCTTCCTTCACTTTCATCTCCACCACACCTGGGGGCAAGTCGGGGAAGGGCAAGGGGCTCTCCTCCTCTGATGTCCTGACCTTTCGGAAGTTCTCCATCCCAGACTGGGCAACGGGCTTGGCCGCCATCCCGCACCCCACACCTAGCCCCCGCTGTGTCGCTCCAGCTCCACCGTCACGTCCTCAGGACCCTCAGCCCCTTTCCCTCTCCTCGTCCTGGTGCTGGCTGTCCCCGGGTCAGGCCAGAGCTGTAGGATCCCCTGGGTGCCCCTGCTAGCTGCCAGCTGCAGCTCTCGGCAATGCTCAGGCTCCTCTGTTCCGTCTGCAGCGCTTGCTTCTGCCGCTCTTTGCTTCATTCTGGACTTCAGCAGCCCCCAGAGCTGTTCTGTGTAATTAGCAGATCCTCCCCCTCTCTCTCCCCTCCCGCCCCGCCTTCTCCTCCTCCTCCCCTCGCTCAGCCTCCCATCCCAGCACCCTCCTGCTGCCTCCATCCCTGGGTGGGCAGAGGGAGAAGCTCTCTCCTGGCTTCGTGATGCTCCCCAAGTCCTGCCCCCTTAAAGAGAACCTCGTCCCTTCTCTCAAGGACACCAAGCTGCCCGCAAACAGCAGCAGTTGTCCCCTGTCCCCCCCCCCACCCCAGCCTCCGGATCATTGCACAGTGGAAAGAGATGCCGCGTATTGCCTTGCTGCCAAATCTTATCGGCCTCTGGAGGACCTGGGATTATTTTCACCCCGAATAGGGCTTGCAAAATCCATGAATAAATGAATGGATCGGCCAGCCCCATTCCTGCCACCCCAATGCAGCGAGGGTTCCACTGTTGGGACATCCCGGGGTCCTGGCACCAAGGGGAGAAACTGAGGCAGGGCCAATGGCGTGGTTGAAATGGATTGAAGCCTCCGTGGGAAAACACTGCCTCCAAAAGATGCTGAAACCCATAGGAAAATAACAAGAAAGGATTTCAACAACCATTCACGCAGCAGGGAGGAAAACTGCGCTATGGGATCAAATCCTGCCACCCGTGGTCCATTTTTTTGCAGCGTTCTGCAGCACTTAAAATGGAAATGAATCGCGTTATTAGCAGCTCCATCGCTAATTACCATCTGAAGCCATTCATTACCCTGTCAGTGTGTTTGCTGGAGGACAACAGCAGTTATTCCAAGCTGAGGAGCGGCAGGATGGGAGAGGGACAAAAGCAGGGCTGAGGGGATAAAAGCACTGGGTGAAAAATACAGGGAATTGGTTAAAACAGAAAAGAGAGATGGTGAAAGCTGGAGCAGCAGTAACATGAGCCCCTGCCCTCCACCTGCCCTCGCTATATTTTCTTTCATCTGCTGAATGTGGGAGCAGTTCGGAAAGTTGAAGCATGCGATATGAGGAAAGTCTCCATCCATCTCTGCGTCACATCGGGGTGGCTCAGGTCTCAGGTGCTTGTCACATTGCACGTGGGACGGCACCCATGCCAGTGACATCCCTGAGTGAGAGCCTGTGCCCTGGCCCTGGGAACATCTGGCTCCCCACTGAAAGCCCTTCAGTGGGGCAAACCCCTTTGTAAAGGTTGAACAACGAGCAAGAGGAATAACTGGGGCGCCCCAGGATCCTGATCAGCCCCACCTGGGCACCTCAGCCACAACCTTTGTATGTCCCACAGCCCTATTTAAGCTCAGCTTTATAGCTTTCAGCTCTAATTTGGGATTTTCTATGAGTTGGTTCTCCAGTTTAATGATATCTATGCTTGTTTCTGGTGCTACTCATATGGACCTCAACCTATTGATTGATTGGAGAGCTGCTTAGCTACTACTGGCCCTGGCTGCTATGCTTACTTTATGGCTTGACCTTGAGAGTGTAGATTTGCTAGAGGTGTGCCGGCTGATCTGGGCGCATGGTTGGGCTTGATCACTGCCCTCAGCTCAGGTATGAAGCTTACCTCTGGGTAATGAGGTTTCTGCCCTGCTAGTTTTGCTGTCATCCTTGGTGTCCTACTTATCCTCCATGACTGTGAGGAGCATATGCCCTTCTCACTGTTTGTAACCAGAAGTGCCTCAGAGCTGCAGCAACCCAATTACATGTGGTCATGCCCTGATGCTCTGAAGGCGTCAGCAGCACTGTTTTCCCCCATAATGATGCTCCCAAAGGGGTTGGCTTGATGCAGCACTGTTTCTGGCACACGTGCAAACGCTGTGGCAGTGACATGAAGCTGGTTTCCAGGCAATAATGTTGGGGAAGAGATTTGATTTGAGTGTAAGGCAAGGTTATTTACAAGCAGGCTGTTTTATGGAGACATCTGCTTGCCTCATTGGAAATGGAGGGCTGTGCTTGAGCTTGGCTTTCCCTGGGATTCAGTACCAGCTGAGCTGCAGGGGACCGTTATTGGCCTTCAGATGTAAGGACTTGTCCCCTTTGGAACTGGCCTGCATGGAGGCTCCACCTTGGTTTTGGAGACCTCTCATTTTGTAGAGGTCCTCAGGAACTGCTGGTGGGATACCGAGTCTTGGTGATATGTTAATCTAGTTGCCACTTATCCACCCCGATGCCATTGCCTTTGTCTCCAAAACCTTGAAGATGAGCTGGAGCACAGCAGGATATGATAGGAGTAGATGCAGGGTTCCCTAAATTTCAGCTTGCCGGTGGGACCTGCAGGGTCCTCTTAACCCCCTTGGTACAGGCAGCCAGGAACCCCTGAAGCCCCAAGAACCCCTGAACAATATGGCTCTTATCACATTCCTGCCCTAAAGTCTCATTTCCCTGAACAGTGCCAGACTCCTACCCTACAGGGAGCCCTCTCTGCTGCATATAGGATTTCTCTTCTCTCATATGCTAATTGCTATATACACACTTCATGGAGGGTCTCCCTTGTTATGTATGGATTTCACCGTAGTCATGACCTACATAAGGTTAATGCTTAATGCATACAGAACTTAACCCCTATAGAAGCTCTCCCCCATAAGGTAGCTGCTGAACTCTTGCCCGTGGAGGATCTCCCTTGCTATGTGTAGTGTCTACAATACATGCACCCCATCGAGACTGTCCCCAGACCCGTATGGAGCCTATACTATATGCTATATCTTTTCCTATAGATGGTCTCCTGTGCCCAATACAGAGCTTACCATATCCCATAGAGGACTTCCCTTGCCCCATGTGGACCCTGCCAAACTCTTGCCCCGTAGAGGGTCTGCCTCGAACCATATGGGGTTTACCGTGCCCCATACAGAGCTTCCCTTGACCCGTATAGAGCTTCTTGCACCCTATGGGCTGTTCTCTCTTTCTCCATTCCCCAAAGAAGGTCACCTCGACCATATGAAGTATGCCCAACTCCTTCACTGGGAGTCTCTCCTGCCCCACGTGGAGCTTACTGCCTCCGTACCCCATAGGGGATCTCCCACGACCTATGTAGTGTTCTCAGCCCCAGAGATCTGCCTTTCATCCCCTATAGGACCCCGTCCTCAATGCGCTCCCCGCCCGGCGGCATCAGGACCCTGGACAGTTCCAACCTCTCTCGCGAGATCTGGAAGGCGGCCCCGTTGGTGGGGCGGGCGGGAGACGGCGCAGTCTCGCGAGAGCGCGGCCGCTGCGGCAAGAGCGGCGCCGGGCGGCCGCCGCCACCCGCGAAGCGAGGCGTGGGGCCGGTGCTGTGCGTGGGGACCCGATCGTGACGGCCGCGGGGCGGGTGGGGGCTGTCGTGCAGCGCGGGGAAGGCCCGGGAGGCCGCTGGAACCCAATGGGGGACGCGCCGCCTGGGTGTCCCCGCGCTTTCCCTGGGTTTTCGCCTCTCGGTGAGGCCGTTTCCCTGCGGGGACGGAGCTAAAGGAGCCCCGCTGCTGTGCGTGGGCCGAACCCCGCGGCTGGAGCCTGTGCTAATCGGCAAGGCGTTAAGCGGGGCGGGAGCCGGGATTGAGCCAGGTGTCCGCGCTAAGCCGGGCCTTGTGCTGAGGCCGGGGGGGAGGGAGGAGGGTTTGGGGAACGGGGACAGCTGGGGTGCAGCCGCACTCCCCTCAGCGCCTCCGTCTGTGTCCTCTTCCTTCCCTCCAGCTCTGACGCAGCTCCCGGCTGCTTTCACTCATCTCTGCAGAGCGGGGAGGCAGAGAGCGTGCCAGCATGGCAGGTATGGGTAATCTAGGGGCGGGGGGGGCTTGTGTTGTTTTCCGCTCACCGCCCCTCATTAACGGGAATTCTTGTTGCAGAAAAAGCCAACAACTTCCCTCCACTGCCCCGCTTCATCCCCTTGAAGCCATGTTTCTACCAGGACTTCGATGCTGAGATCCCACCGCAGCACCGCACCATGGCCAAGCGGCTCTACTACCTCTGGATGCGTGAGTCGGGGTTGGCCGTGTGCTCAGCACGAGTCAAACAGGGGTGGTGTGCCTTGTCCCCCTCCAGACCTTTGTGCCCAAACCCACTGGGGATGGGGTAGGGCTGCGGCAAGCCCCGGATTTCGTAGAATTGCAGAATCATAGAATTTGGGTTGCAAGGGACCTTAAAGTTCATTCGGTTCCAACCCCTTTGCTGTGAGCAGGGTTGCCAACTGCTAAATCAGGCACTGGAACAGCTTTGGTGGAGGATTTGCCACCAGCAAAGGCTCTCTGAGTGTCTTTGACATCAAGGGGCGTTCCTCATGGACCTGAACTCCTCACAGCCCCTCTGTTGGTTCCCAAATGCCCCATGTCCAAGCTGGTCACATGGGCTGGATCCCTCCTGGAGTTTTGCCTGTTCTTCTTTGCATGCTTCTGCGTGCTGTGCTCCATGCTGAGAGCCACTGCTCTTCTCTAACCCCTTCAGCTGCCCGGATCTCTCTAACATCCTCCGCATGCCTCCTGTCACTTTTCCACAAAAGAGGAAAAAAATATGTATAACTGTGTTTCCCTGCAGAAGCTGTTTTGGGACATTAAATTCCCAACGGCTGCTTTACTAGTTTCTGGGATACACTTCCGTGCAGCTCCATCTGGAGCATTTTATCAGCACAGGATGAGGAGCTCGGGGGGGAGCGGGGCTGTCAGACCTGCTGCAGGGTTTTGGGATCGTGCCGCCCTCTTCGCGTGCGCTACTCCGCTCCCTCTGTGTGTGTGTGTGTGTATGTTTGCAGTGAACAGCATCACCTTGGCGGTGAATCTCGTTGGCTGCCTCGCATGGCTGA